ATTACAGGCGTGAGCCACCGTGCCTGTAATGCCATCATTGCCATTTTCAATTGGAACAGATTCTGCAATAGGACTGTTCAGGTAAAAAGGAAAAAAACAAAACAAAACAAAACAAATGAGGGAACAGAGGGGTTACGTAAACTTACCCAACGGCACACAGCCAGTAAGTGGCAGAGCTGAGGCTCGGGTTAGGCAGTCTGACTCTAGAGCTTGCATGCCTGACCACTACTGTCCATTTTTTTGAGGCAGTGGGGTGTAGTGAAAAGCAACTAGGACTTAAGGTCAGACTGTGGTTTCGATCTTGGCTGTGCCATTTACTAATTATGCATCTTTGGGCAAGTTAATTTCATTGCTTTGAGCTTCAGTTTCCTCATGGGTAAAAGGATTATTACAGCTGGGTGCAGTGGCATGCACCTGTAGTCCCAGCTACTAGTGAGGCTGAGGTGGAAGGAGTCCAGCCTGGGCAACGTAGGAAGACCCTCTCTCTCCTTTTATCCGCCCCCCCAAGAGATAGCATCTCACTCTGTTGCCTAGGTTGGAGAGCAATGGTGTCACCATAGCTTAGTGCAGCATCAAACTTCTGCACTCAAGCGATCTTCCCAATTTAGCCTCCCAAGTAAGCTAGGACTACAGGCACGGACCACCTCACCCAGCTAAGCTTTATTTTTGTAGAGACAGGATCTCACTATGTTGCAATGTTGCACAGGCTAGTCTGGAACTCCGGGGGTAAAGCAATCCTCATGCCTTGGCCTCCCAAAGTGCTGGGATTACAAGAGTGAGCCACTGTGCCTGGCTCATTATACAAATATTTGCAGGGACTTAGAAAGGGTGTTAAAATTCTAGATCACATGTGGCCCCGGGAAGGTTTTCTCACCCTCTCTTAGTGACATCGAGTCTCCCACTAGACAAAAATAGGTGGAAAAATCTCTCGAGGGCTCACATTGTTTTGTCATCTTCAGGAAAAACACCACCAGGCCATACAACAGCCTGCCCAGTGAAGCGGTCTTTGCCAACAGCACCGGGATGCTGGTGGTGGCCTTCGGGCTGCTGGTGCTCTACATCCTTCTGGCTTCATCTTGGAAGCGCCCAGAGCCAGGGATCTTGACCGACAGACAGGTATGGGTTCCAGTCCCACATTCCAGGGTGAGACAGGGCCAGGTTTAGAGAAGGATCTCCCACAAAAGGCTGGGGCCTTGACAAGAAGACTAACCCTGTGGCACAGTGGGAAACCAAGTAACTTGAGGGTGGAGTTAGGGTGGCTGATGGGGAGCACTGGTTCCAAACCAGCGCATCCCAGCGAAATGCTGGGACTCCCCAGGGTCTGTCCATTGGGCGACAGAATTTCCCCCCAAATTACTGTGGTTCTGTGGGGTGAAGTGTGGCGTTATCTTCTTCCCCAAGGAAGGGCTTGACTATGACAAGGGTGTGTGATTTCTCCTTTACCAGCCTGGGGGCTAGTCTAGTGGGATGGGTACGTGGTGACCAGCTGAGTGCTCAGAGCAGGTCTTGATGGGGTGTGTACCAGGCTCAGGGACTTTGGGGCTTCCCTGAGGGATGTGGTGGCTTGGGTGGGGACCACCCTGCAGGTTGGGGGTCTCTCTGAATAGCTTGGGCCTGGTGTGACTCCTGCATCATGTCATTAACTCCTCGGCATCTGCCTGTCTTTCCAGCCCCTGCTGCATGATGGGGAGTGAAGCAGCAGGAAGGGGCTCCCAGGAGCTCCTGGTGGTGCAGCCTGTGTCCCCCAGAAGCTCTGCTCTTCCCAGGGCTCCCAGCTGGTTTCAGCAGGCAACTTTCTTCGAATGCTGGGCCCAAACTTCTCGCCTGGGTACTGGGCCTGCCTTCTCCAGCCGCTTGCTGCCTGTCTGCTTTTCTTGGTGGCTTTGGCTTCTGTTCTCCTTGGCATCAGCCTCTCAGGTCCTCCATTCACACGAGGTCCTCCTTGCTCTGGCCACTCTTGCTGCTCCTGTCTGAAGAAATCAGACTGATTTCCTCTTAAGACTCCTAGGGATGTGGTGAAGAGCTGGGACTCAAGTGCAGTCCACGATGTGAACCATGAGGGAGGTGAGGTGTCCGTCCGCTTCCCCCATGAAGGCGTGCGTTTCAGTTAGGCTGCCCCGCCACAGAGCAGGCTTCATCTGCTCTGCCGTCCAGCCCCGTCTGGATGTGATGGGGGGTGGAGACATCATGGGGTGATTGCAGAAGCGGGGAGTGGCGGCCCACACAGCTTCTGCTGAGGAGCTGACTGTTCTGAGCCGTTGTTTCGTATTGCTGCTCTGTGTCTGCGTGTATTGTGACCGCGCGGCTCCACCTCTTCCAGCTGCTGCTACAGCCGAGGCCTGGATCCCGGCCTTTCCCTGTGACTTACATGCCTGTCACCGGCAGGCAGCCCTATGAATCCTGGTAACCTGCTCTCCCAAGAACAGAGCCTGTCCCCAGATGTCCCAGTAGCGACGAGTAACAGATGGCTGTAGACTTCCTTTACTTCCCCTTGCTGGATCAGGGCCTTCCTGCCTCCTGCTGGGCCGATCTGGCCTTGCTCTCTTGGCAGGGCCCCAGCCCCTCTGATCACTGCAGCTCACCATGCAACTGATGCCAAAGTTGTGGTGTCCTGTGTGCAGCAGCCCTGGGAGCCACCGCCACCTTCAGAGGGGTTCCTTGCTGAGACCCACATTGCTTCACCTGCCCCCACCATGGCTGCTTGCCTAGCCCAACCCAGTGTTCTGTGCCATGCTAGAGCTTGAGCTATTGTTCTTCAGAGGAGGAAATACGGTGGGGAGGGGGAAGGGTCTTGCTCCTCTCCTAAGTGTTGCTGCTGTGGCTTTTTTGCCTTCTCCAAAGATGCACTGCCAGGTCCCAAGCTCCAGACTGCTGTGCTTAGTAGGCAAGTGAGAAGCCTGGGGTTTGGAGCCCACCTACTCTCTAGCAGCATCAGCATCCTACTCCTGGCAACATCAGGCCAACTGTCCGCCCCAGCCTCACATTGCCAGATGTTGGCAGAAGGGCTAATATTGAACATCTTGATTGGCTGGAGCCTTCAAAGCCACTGGGATGTCCTCCAGGCACCTAGGTCCCATGACCAGCTCCCTGTCGCCATAGGGGTAGGCATTTCACTGGTTTATGAAGCCCGAGTTTCATTAAATATGTTAAGAATCAAAGCTGTCTTTGTTCAGGCTGCTATAACAAAAATATAATAGCCTGGGTGGCTTAAACAACAAGCGTTTATTTCTCACAGTTCTGTAGGCTATAGACATCCAAGATTGAGGCACTGGCAAATGTGGTGTGTGGCAAGGGCCAGCTTCCTCAGAGACCGTCTTCTCACCATAACCTCACATGGTGGAAAGGGCATGAGAGCTCTCTGGGGCTCCACCCTCATAACCCAACCACCTCCCAAAGGCCCCATGTCCTAACACTACCATAGTAGGGGTGAGCCTTTCAACACAGGAATTTGCGGGGGGGACGTATTCATTCAGTCTCTAATAGCAGCCCTCTGATGAAATGATGCTGTGGTTAAATGAGTTCTGGGCCAATTTGTAAAAGCCTCAGGACAGGTCTGACCCTCACAGACCTAGGGAGGGGCCAACTGGAAGGCACCAAAGATCCACATGATCCTCTGTCTTCATGGAATGGCATGTGTGGATTCACATGCAGCTCATTTATGTGCAGATGTCCTTAATTGCTAATGGCACTTGCTTATCTCACGAGGAAGGAAATTTTTCCTATTTCATAATCTGAGAAAACAAGACTCAAAAAGGTTAAGTGACTAGGTTGAGGTCACCCAGCCAGGAAGTGACAGAGCTGGGATCCACAGGCCACCGTCTGAGGCCAGCCTCCTTCGCAGCTGCTGGGCACACACCCCTGTGCAGGACGCCTTGTGGTCAGGGACATATGGTGCAGCTGACAGGACCCTGGGTAGAGAAGCCCAGGCACTGGGGAAGCCTACAGCCAATTTGGGCGAAGTAGGTGGCAGGGGTTGGGGGGCACAGGAGGCTGTTTCCTACCAGCTAGTGGTGGAGCGGATGACCTGGGAGGGGCTGGGGGCCCAACCCTTGTGATAACTCCCAGTGAGTGAGCACTTGGACTGTGCTGGGCTTCATCTTCATCAGTTCATTGGAATCCTTTCATGTCCCCGTGAGGTGGGTACCATTCTGATTTTACAGATCCCAAGGAGCTAAAAAATAGGCCTTAGCTCATGTAACCAGGTTAAAGCAGAACCAGATTTCAGATCATGTGTATAAGTCAACAGCCAGTGCCTTTAACCACTCCCTACCCTACATGCGTGCCAGGCACGTGCTATTGGTCTCCACATGCACAGAATGCCCCTTCTCACCCTGGTGCCATCAGTGATTGCTCTAGAAAGAGACCTAGGGGCTGGCTTGGCCACAGCCCTCCTCTCCCCTCCCCTCCCCTCGCTCTGTTGCCCAGGCTGGAGTATAGTGGCATGATCACGGCTCACTGCAGCCTCGACCACCTGGGCCCAAGCCATCCCCCCAACTCAGCCTCCCAGGAAGTTAGGACTACAGGCACACACTACCATGCCTGGCTGATTTTGTATTTTTTGGTAGAGCCAGGGTTTCACCATGTTGCCCAGGCTGGTCTTGAACTCCTGAGTGTAAGGGATCCCAAAGTGCTGGTATTGCAGGTGTGAGCCACCATGCCCGGCCTGGCTGCATTTTCTGATCTACAACTGAACCTTAGACTATGATGATTTATTTTCCTTCTGGTGTCCCAAATGCCCATTTGACTCCCAAGGAGCCACTGAATTGTTAATTCGATGCTGAGAAAAGCCTGCCTACCATTCTTACACGAATCAGGTGTGTGTACTGGAAAGGGGACAGGTCGGGGGTCTCGGTGGAAGCAGCCCAGCTGAGGAGACACTGATTTAGGGGCTCAGGTAATAAAGATCTGCCTGGTAGAAGATGGGTCATGATGCCTGCAGCCAGGGCTGTGGGCCCCTTTGTTTACATGCATGGGAAAACTCCCTCAGAGGAGGCAGTGGCTTTCTTGCTTCCATGTATTATAGTTTATTAACTTTCTTTTCCATGCTCATTGGGATTAAGGTGCAGAAGGCATTTCACAGAGAGTCTTAAAACAGGATTGCCAGATAAAGGCTGCACAAGGAAAATGCCTTATCTCTGAAGCCCAGAACTGGCAGGGGAGGGCATGACCCAGGGACTCCACCCTCTCACAAAGGGAAAGGGCATGCTGGAGAGGCACGGGGACCCACTCCAGCTCGCTCTGGGTGCTGTCTGTAGTTCTGGAAGCTTGGTGGAGGATTTCCTGCTCAACTTAGAGGGTGGGCCAATGGAGCCAGGCCAGGGGAAAGTGACGGTTGGAAGGCAGAAAGAAGTGCCAAAGGCCACCTCAGCACAGCAGTGAGAGGAGCTGAGGCCAAGGGAGGCAGTCACACATCCTAGTTCTGCAAGACCTCCAGGATGGCCCGGAGGATGGCAGCAGCTGCCACTGCCCCGGGGTCTGGCTGCTCCAGCCGTGCTGAGCTGATATAACTGGCTCTTCCGGCTCCAGCTTCCATATTCTTGGTGGCCTCCGCTGCAGCTTCGGCACTCTGGGGGATGGGGTGTGGGAGCAGGTTCAAGGGCAGGCCATCAGGCCTCCTCCTTCCTGCCATGGGCAGAACGTCTCTGCCATGCAGCCTGGCCCTGCATGCTCTTGCCCTGGCTCTGCCAGCACCCTCTGCTCTGTCACCAAATGGAAAGTTACCTCTCATCTACTTCCAGCAGGGAAAAGGGTCACCATTCACTGAGGGCCTATCACATCCCAGGCGGTGTGCAGGGCTCTACATATTTCCTTAGCCACATAACCACCTTCTAAGATAGGTGCTCATCTCCATTGTACAGAGAAGGAAACTGTGATCCAGGAAGGTTATTAACTTGCTCAGGGTCACATGGAGACAGGAGTCTGGTGGCTAGAAGCCTGTCTCCCTGGGTGGCTGGGCCCAGCCTCACTCACCTTGACTGCTTTGGTCAGGACTTGCAACAGATCGGCTCCTGGGCTCTTCCAGGCTTGGAGCTCCTGCCCTGCTGCCCACAGAGAATCCAGCTGGACAAGGTGAGGGAGAGGGGGCTGAGCACAGGCCCTGCAACTGAGGGTGCTCTTTAGGGCTTACAGGCTCAAAAGGAGAAAGGTCTAGGGCCACAGCCCGAGTACACACCATAGTCCTGTCCCCTGGGGCAGCCTTTCCATACCTAGCAGGGAGAGAATGAAAGAGGCTCACTATAGGGAACCAAGGGAATCACTCTGAGGGTGGGGCTAGGGCCTGGCGGGGGGCAGATGTCACCAACCACCTCCCCCAGCCCACCCCTGGTCTGATGCACAGGGCCCCGGCTCACTTCTGCATGGCTTCCAGGCCGGCATCCATGGCAGCAGACCAGGCTGGGAGGCTGGTCTTGACCTTGAGGGGCTGGGCAGCTGCAGTCAGGAACAGGCCATAGAGCTGGGGAGGATGAGAACACTGAGCATGTGGTGCTGGCCTGGACCCCAGCCGGCCCAGCCACCTCCCTGTCAGCCCTTCAGCCCCCAGCACCCCACCCCCCAGCCCCCCCCCCCCCCCCCCCCCCCCCCCCCCCCCCCCACCTCCCTGTCAGCCCTTCAGCCCCCAGGCACCCACCGCTCCAGATGAGCCTCCCATCTTCTCCAGGAGCAGGACAGACAACTTGGAGAGCAGCTGGGCAGGGCTGGCAGGGGGTGGGCCCTCCTTCAGCCACTCCCGGATTGCTGCAGGCACCGAGAGACGGGGAGGAATTCAGAGACCCTCCCTCCATCTGCCAGACTTCCAGCCAGCACCAATGACGCTGGAAAAGGCTGACAGGGAGGTGAAATGAAGGCTTCCCAAGATCCCTTTCCACATTCAGTGTGCAGTCTAGAGAGGGGCTGGACTGTAGAACCGAAAGGGGCCTGGGGAGGTGAGGCCCGCCTCGAAGCCCCTCCACCTGACACTGTGTACTCCGCTTCCTGGCTTGGTTTTTTCTCCTTAGCCCTTTGTGCTAACATCCTCTGTTTTACTGATTTATCTTGTTGACTGTCTTCCACCCAGAACATAGCCATGAGGGCGGTGATTTCTGTCTGCTCTGTTCACTACTGTATCCACAGTTGAGAGCAGTGCCTGCCCCATGGCAGACACCAAATACCTTTTTCTCGAATGAATGATGCTGGACAGTTAAGAGCTTTTCACTGGTCTGGGTAAACTGAGAAAAATAAGGACAACAGAATATGTTTTGCTTGAGTTGTAAGTTATTCACTGTGAAGGATTTCATTTAATTCTAAGATAATAACCTCATACATTTGTGCTGTTAAGAAGGTCACTGTCGGCCAGGTACAGTGGCTTATGCCTGTAATCCCAGCACTTTGGGAGGCCAAGGTGAGCGATGGCTTGAGGTCAGGAGTTAGAGAGCAGCCTGGCCAACATAGCAAACCCTGCCTCCACTAAAAACACAAAAATTAGCCAGGCGTGGCTGCGCACGCCTGTAATCTCAGCTAGTCGGGAGACTGAAGCAGGAGAGTTGCTTGAACCCGGCGGGACGGAGGCTGCAGGGAGCCGAGATCACGCCATTGGACACTCCAGCCCGGTGACAGAGTAAGACTCCTTCTTAAAAAAAAAGAAAAGTCCCTGTCTTCAAGGCAACAGGTGGAAGGGGGGCTAGGGTTTTGTGGATGACCTAACTTGGAAAAGTCCCTGGCACCAACCTCTGGCCGCACGGCTGTGGGTGGTGCCACAGTCGCCATCACCAGCAGCCCGGTCCAGGGCATTCAGGTGTTCCTCCAGGCCCAGGAGGGTGCTGCACACCCGTTCCAGCACCAGCGCCATCCGCTTCGAGGCTGAGCCTAGAAAGGGAGGATGGTGAAGAACAGGCCCACCAGGCCCTTCTCACAACCACACTTGACTGGGGTGGGAGATGTGGGTGCCAGGGCCCCTACCCACCCCACCGCATACCCCTGCATCCTTTGGGAAGCCTGTCCCTTCCCCAGAGGCAGGAGTTGGTACCTCCTACAGCAGTGGAATCAAGGGCCTCCTGGGGCTCGGCAGGGGCTACCCGGTTCCGCTTCCGCCCAGTAATGGAGACTGCGGCCACGTTAGGCCAGGCTACTGCAGTGGTTTCAGCATCTAAGAGCAGCAAGATAACTCTCTTAGACATGGCTGTCCAACAGGGATTCAGCAGGGCTTGGACCCCCCCCATCCTGGCCCTGGTGGACTGGCTCCCTCAGCAGCCCTGGAGGAAGGGAGTCCACCTCAGCAAGCATGGACTGAGTGCCTACTGTGTACAGGGGTATGGAGAGAGGGTCCCTAGGAAAAGGGTCAGGCCTATCTGAGGAGGATCCTAATACCAACTCCTCCTAGTACCAGTGACAGCTGGAGAAGGCTGGAGAAGCCCAGAAAGGTCCTTCTTCACAGGCTGCAGAGCCCTGATTGTCACGGTCAGCCCTGATGGAGTCTCCAAGTCTCCCTGACTCCTTCCAGCTACAAGGAGCCCTGGCTTGGGTGACCCCAGGTTCCAAGTCTCACCTATCAGTTTCAGGAGAGGCTCATCCACCAGCAGGAGGGTGAGAGAAATGCCAGGCATCTCCAGTGCTGACATGAAGGTGCCCACCAGGGCACGGGCAATCTTCACCCCGCGGCCCTCTGCAATACCAGAGCATGGCGGTCCAGAAGGGAAAAATGGGCATCAGGGAAAGAAACAAAACAACAGAAAAGCAAGGACCTTGCAAGCTGGGGCACTGAGGTCAGGACGGGGATGGCCTGATTTCCTCCTGGCAGGCATCCCTCAACCCCACAAATGACCATGTTCCCTGGAGGTGTCCCCTACTTCACGGCGGATGAGCAATTACAGGTCTCATTTACTCAGTTCGTGCCAGGTGCTGGGTGCTGTGTGGAGTGCCTTACATATGTTTAATCTCACTGAATCCTCACAACAACGGTATAATGCAGGTACCATTATTATTACCCCAAATTTGCAGACAAGAAAATAAACAGAGGCTCAAGGTATCCAGCAATTAGGTGGCAGAGAGACGATTTAACTCAGACTTATCCGACGCACAGTCCGTGTTCTCTGCCATCACAAGGCCCTCCCTCAGCCCTTTCCAGAGGGCTGCAGGCTCCCCTTCCCAGTGCATGGCTCACCCAGGGAGCGAACGGCAGCATCGGCTATGATGCCCAATTCCAGGAATGACAGGCCACCCAGGTTGTTGACCATCATCACAACTGAAGAGCCTGTGGGTAGACATGACACCCCAGGTGAGACCCTCTGGGCGTCTCCTGCCCAGAGGTGTAGGAAGGGTTGGGAGACGTGGGCGAGAGGCTACCCACCGGGCTGCACAGGCACATGGGACGCATTGGTGGTGTCTGTCATGTGGTCGAGCATGAGTTTCACAATCTCATCAGCAGTTGCCATCTGTCACAGGGAGCCAGGAATGAGCTACATCTGGGAGGCCTTGGCCTTAGGGTGGCCTGCGCCAGGGCGACCACTTACCTTTATCCGGCGCACACCAGCTTCCCCGTGGATCCCTGCGGATAGACGTGGTCACTGCTGACCCACTCAGGGCCTGGGGATTTGCTCATCGTTTTTATCAAGGACACACAAAGTGCTGGACTCACACAGTAAGTGGGCCGGAGTCGGGGATGGAAAGGGACAGAATAATGAAAAACATGGTCTCTGTTCTCTGGGAGCTCGTGGCTTGGTGGTGGAGACAGCTTTAACTGGAGGTAGTCAGGGTGGAAGCACAGGGGAGGAAGCAGAAAGCTTTGCAGCCAGGGGATCTTTGAAGAGCCCTTGAAAGAAGGGTGTATTCTGGCAGGGACAGGAGGACCTGGGAATGGTCGGCAAAGGCAAGGAGGTGGGCAGCGTACAGAGCTCCACATGGCCAGAGCCCTGGGTGTAGACGGCAAAGCCGGTAGGAATCAGGTAGGTTGGGCCAGGCTGGGCCTCAAATGCCCAAGTAAAAATGCTAAGACCACCTGGGGAGAGAAGCAGGTTGATGGCTCTCAGGGTATACAAGGTGGGCAAAGTCCAGGGCTAAGGGGCAGGCAGGGCTGGGATGGGCGGCCACAAGCTTACCCAGGCCCAGCTCCACCTCATCGGCCGAGAGCTCGAAGGTGGGTTTGGAACCAGGGACGCTGCAGGAGGATAAGCTCACCCCCAGGGTACCTATGAGAAACAAGGCATGAAGGGATGACTGTTCCACTCTCAGCACTGGGCATCAGGAAGGGCGGCAGCAGCATCTCAGAAGCCCTGCCCACAGACACCCTCTTCTCTGAGAAAGCTGCCGGACTCTCCACCTCAGCCATGGTACCCAAGGCCACCAGTCCCCAGGAGCTCCCCCAGGGATACCTTCCCTAGACCCCTGGGAAATAACCTGGGGAGCACCGCTAGGCAGCCAACAGGAACCTGCTCCTCATCCTGGGGATGTCCCAACCTTCCCCACTCTCCTGCCCAACTCCCAGGCCGGCACTCACCCATGGCCTTGGCGACCACGTTCACCCGCTTTGTGATCTCCTCCAGCCCCACACCTGCCTCAGCCAGAGCACCTGCCACCTGCAGCCACACAGAGTTAAAAGCCCCAGCGGGGCGGGTATCACTGTACCACGTGGGGTAGAAGACAGGCAGGGGGTGAGTTTCTTGTTGGGAAGGGGGAACCTCTTACGATTTCCACACTCAACCTGGCCCATCACATTTAGGGCAGAAGAGCAAACTCCCGCCATTCACATTGTACCTGCCAGAAATCTTCAAAAATTCTAGTCTGTTGGAGTCAGAAGAGACTTTACAAATGGGGAAATGGACCCAGAGAGGGGAGGTGACTTGTCCAATGTCACACAGCCAGTGGGTGGCCAGTTTCCCAACTCTAGAGTTCCAGAGTTCTCTCTCCCATAGCCTTGCTATTGTGGGTCACTTTACCCATCTATCCATCCATCCATCCAGTCAATTTTTACCAAGCATCTAGCATATGCTGAAAAGGAAAAAAGGCACCTAAGTCACAGTCCCCACCTTCAAGAACTCACAGCCTGGAGAGAGGCTAGGGAAGCAGACACGCACAGATGGAAAATTTATGTGAGGTGGTAATTACAATTACACTAGGAGGGGCTGCCAGCCAGCTCAGGGTACTGGGGAGATGGAGATCAGGGAGAGCCTTCCAGGTGGGGAGACATCAGAGTTGGGCCTCTGCAGAATGGTAGGAGTTAGCCAGGCCAAAAGGAGGCAGGACAAGGAAAGAATTTTCCAGGCCACAGACACTGCATAAGCAAAGCCAGAGATGACCCACAGCCTGGCAGGTACAGGAGCTGGCGTGAATGGACCGTAAGAGTAAGGCAATGATGGCAGGGTACGGTGGCTCACGCTTGTCATCCCAGCACTTTGGGAGGCCGAGGAGGGCAGATCATTTGAGGTCAGGAGTTCGAGACCAGCCTGGCCAACATGGTAAAACCCCATCTCTACTAAAACTACAAAAATTAGCCGGGCGTGGTGGCAGGCGCCTGTAATCTCAGCTACTGGGGAGGCTGAGGAAGGAGAATCGCTTAAACCTGGGCGGCGGAGACTGCAGTGAGCCAAGATTGCGCCACTGCATTCCAACCTGGGCAACAGAGTAAGACTCTGTCTCAAAAGAAAAATAAATTAAAAAATAAATAAATAAAAGAAAATTTAAAAAGAGGAAGGCAGGGATGATGGGAGATGAAGGTGGGGAGTCAGGGAGCTGGGGTGAGGGCTTGTGTTGATTCCAAGACCCAAGAAGGCTTTCAGTGGGTGAACCTAGTCAGATACACATTTTAAAAAGACACCTCCGGCAGTCGTGTGAAGAATGGATGAGCAAGACCAGAAGGCAGGAAGCAGCAGGGGAGCCCAGTGAGGAGGTGGCTGCAGCCATTAGGCATGAGCAGATGACCCCCGAACCAAGGCAAAGCAGGAGGGCAGGGTCTGAGGAGGATGTGTGTTATATACATTTGGGAGTAGAAGCGCCAGAACTGGGCAACTGATTGGGTGTGGAGAAGAGAAGGGCACGAGTCTGGGAAAATGCCTGTATCTGGGCTTAGGTAGCTGAGGGGATGGCGGGGCCTTCTGAGATCAGGGAACACTGGAGAAAAAAGTAGCTTCTTGGGGAAGGGCTGGAAAGGTCCAGTTACAGGGTGCTGCCAGGCAAGGGAAGGCTGGAAGGGGCTGGCCAGTCTCTGTGTCCCCAGTGGAAGCCTACCTTGTGTATAAGCACCGTGCCACACAGCCCCCGCCGGCCTGCCTTCTTCAGGACGGTGAAGGCGCTGTCATCCCCGATCACCACCATCTCCACCGGGATGCCTTCAGCCCGGGCCTGCTCCCTGGCCAGGCCGAAGTTGAGCCGATCCCCAGTGTAGTTCTTCACGATGAGGAGGGTCCCCACTGCAGGAGCAGCCGGCAGGGCTCAGCACCCTTACTGTGCCCTCCCTGCCGCAGCCCCTCCTGCATGCCAGGCTTACCTGTGCCAGCCTGGGCCACTGCCCTGATGGCTGCCAGGATGCTGCCCACTGCTGGGGAGGTGAATACGGCTCCTGCGATGACCCCGGTCAGCATCCCCTTCCCTATGAAACCTGGAGGTGGAAGGGGTAGAGTGAGCATGGCAGGTGGGACTTGCGCCTATAGTCACTGGGGCTTCCCATGCTCCGGGGGACATGGTTTGGTGAGCCCTACTGTGTGCTTGGTGCTCAAAGATCCCCCAGGTCTTCAAATGGCTGACTCCTTCTTAGGAGGCACCTTAGAGAGGCCTTCTGCGACCTCCCCGCCTGAAGCAGTCACCAACTCCCTCCCCAGGGACTCACTGTTCCTTTGCCCTGTTTTACTGTCTGTACTAAGTCACTTAGCACCCTCTGAAATGATCTCATTTCCTTTCGTGTTTACCTGGCTATTGTCTATCTCCCCTAAGTAGAATAAAAGCTCCACGAGGGCAGGGACCTTGCCTGTCTGCTTCATTGCTGTATCCCTAGTGCCCAGTACAGTGCCAGGTACACAATGGGCTCATGAGTGTTTGCCAAATGAATGGATTTTGCTGAAGGAAGACAGGAAGGGGACAAATGATGCGCTTCCTAGTCCCTGCCCTCCAGCAGCCCTCAAGGAGAGTTCGCGTCCCTGGCTCCAGGTGTGGGACACGGCAGGTGGGAATTCAGAAGAGGGGCGCTGCTCTAGGCTGGAAGAGTCAGGAAGCCTTCACGGAAGAGGGGGTGGGTCTGCTGGGCCTGGAGGGTCCAGAAGATTCATGGACTCACCGACTCTCAGAGCTAGAAGGACTTGAGGGATTGTTTGGCCCAACTTCATAGTTTTGTAGATGTAGAAACAGATTCAGAGAGGCCGTGATGGGCCCCTGATCCCAGCCGGAGGGAGTGGGAGAGTGGGAAGCGGCCCCAGTTCCTGAGTCTGGGTTGGGCTCCGTCCTGCACCTCGTGGCAGCACTGAGGATCTCACAGGAGGCCCTGTCCACTCCACCAGTACCCCCTGCCCCACCCCAGGGTACTCACCAGCATGGGCAGGCTCATGGCCAGAGCCCCCACCCGATAGCAGTGCCACCCGGCCCTTGAGGCTGTCCAGGTCAGAACGGAGGGCCACGCGGTGGCCCTGCAGGAGCTGCAGGTTGGGGTTGCAGGCCACCAGGCCAGCAAGGGCGTCATCAGCACAGCCAGCCACCGAGTTCACCAGCTTCTTGGAGGTCTGCAGGGGAGGAGTGAGAAGGATGTCAGAGTGTGGTCAGCACAGACACCCCCATCCTGCCCAGCCACACTGCTGTTGTGTAGACCCCTCTCCCGCATCCACCTACGAACTCCAGGAGCGCAGGACTTCCTTGAGTTGGGTGACAGGTGGGTATTTCTGTGAGTTTTCAATAATGTGTGACTTTCTATTCAGTACCTAATTTATGAAGTGTCTTGCACCATACCTTCAATTTATTCTGAAAAAATGGCTGCAATACAAAGAAAATGGGGGAGTTGTTGTCTGCAGTGTAAAATATTTTAATAAAATGGGGCCCAACACCTTCTTCTGTCAAAAGGAAGAAAAGCCCCAGGCTGAGGCTCCAATGCTGGGGGAGGAGCTGAGCAGGTTTCACAGCCACCGCTGCTCCCTGGTGCTCCAATGTGGGACCAACATTTCCCCAGCCTCTTGGCATGCCAGGCCCAGTGCTAGACAGTGTGTAGAGATAACAGCCCACGTGCGATGGCTCATGCCTGTAATCCCAGCACTTTGGGAGGCTGAGGCAGGCAGATCGCTTGAGCCCAATACTTTGAGACTGGCCTAGGCAACATGAGACTCCATCTCTACAAAAAATATGAAAAATGATCCAGGCATAGTGGTGCATGCCTAGAGTCCCACTACTGGGAATGCTGAGGTGGGAGGATCGCTTGAACCTGGGAGGTCATGGCTGCAGTGAGCTGTCATCGTGCCACTGCACTCCAGCCTGGGTGAGAGTGAGACTCCATCTCAGAAATAAAAAAAGAGATAACAACGCTATTCCTGCCCTCAGGGGAAACACAGCAGAGGTCACAACCATGTGTGGTGGGCACCGCTATGCGAGGAGTGCACGTGCACCATGGGAGCATGGAGGAGGGGCCGCAGCCTCCTGAGGGGCCTGGAGGTCTCTGTGAAGGATAAGCAAGACCGGGGTAGGCAAAAGGGGGCAGGAGGTATGGGGGGAGGGAAAAGGGAGGCTCTTCCAGCCAGAGGGGGAGCATAAGCCAAGGCCTGGATGAGTGAATAGTGTGGTGGTGCCAGGAAGCATGGTTGACCAGCAGGGAGGGGTGAGGAGGAGAGGGCTGGCCACAGGCAGCCTCAGGAGGGGTTGTGGGCAGGCTGGTGGAGGGTTGCAGAGCAGCACCACCAGGCTTGGCTGAGTGGATACGGGGTGCAGACAGAAGTGAGTAGCGTGGGGGCCAGAATGGGGCATGGCTTGAGCTCTGCTGTTACAGGGACTTGGGTTCAAATCCCACTTCTGCCTCTGATTAGCTGCCGGAACTCAGGGAAGATAACATCGTTGTTGGGAGCTATAATTCTTCCTCTGTAAAATAGGGATTTACTAGAACAGAGTATATGCCCGTGATATAGTGGAAACTCAATCACAGGAAGCGACTCCCTTTTTCAAACAGGCTGTGAAAAGCCTGAACAAGGGCTGTAGCCCCTGGTTTTGTCCTGAAGACAGAGACTGGGGCGCAACCTGGACTCAGAGGGCTGGGCTCCCACCGCCACCTGGTGGCCCAGTGGGAACCTGCAGCTGAGCCAGGGCCTGGCAAGGTGAACTTCTGGCTGTGGCTTCTTCCTGACCTGGCTAGCACCAGCTCCTTTGTACAAAATTTGGCTCTGCTGCCTCCCTGCCAACCTGTCCTGCACCCAGCCAGGGCCAGGGCTAAGCCACCTGCTTCAGAGTAGCCTAGGTTTGTAGGGAGCGAGAAGAAGAATAAGATTGGTTCCATTTGCCGAGCAGTGACTAAGCGCCAGGCTCAGTTCTAAGTGTTTTTGAGCATGTCTCATTTAATCTTCCCAACAAGCCGGGTGTGGTAGCTCATGCCTGTAATCCCAGCACTTTGGAAGGCCGAGGTGGGCGGATTACCTGAGGTTGGGAGTTCAAGACCAGCCTGACCAACATGGAGAAACCCCATTTCTACTAAAAATACAAAGTTAGCTGGGCGTGGTGGTGCATGGCTGTAATTCCAGCAACTCAGGAGGCTGAGGCAGGAGAATCACTTGAACCTGGGAGGCAGAGGATGCAGTGAGCCAAGACTGCGCCATTGCACTCCAGCCTGGGCAACAAGAGCAAAACTCCGTCTCAAAAAACAAAAAACAAAAACCAAAAACAAACTTCCCAACAACCCTATGGAGGAAAGATGAGCCCAGTGAGGCAACTGAGGCACAGTTAAACGATTTTGCCCAAGGTCACACAGCCAGCAGGTGTCCAGGTCTGCCTGGCTCCAAAGCTAGTTCCCTTTTGGCCATATCATGCTGCTTTCTCGAGGGGCTGGAGGGAGGTGGAGGGTGACGGAGGTTGCCCTAGAAAGGGCATGGGCTTGTGGCTCTCAGAGCCTATCAGGGACTGGAACATACAATGAAGTTGTGAGTTGGCCTCACTCCAAGCCCAGCCTCCAGCACCACTACCCTCCAAGAAAGTGGCCTGCTCCCCAACTTGATAATCTGTCTTGCCTGAGATTTTCAACAATCCCTCTGCCAGAGCCAGAGGAGGGTTTAGGGACCAGTGCTATCCCTGGTTTCAGTGGCCTGAGAGGATGGAAAAGGAAAGGAAGTCAGGTGAGGCCTCCAGGACTCTGCTTGATCAACACCACACAACCACTAGAGATAGGCCTTAATTTGCCTTGTAATGCAGATGAAGAAAAAGAGGCTCAGAGAGGTCAAATCTTCTGCAAAAGGTCATGCAGCTGGTCAGTGGCAGGCTGAAATTTGAATCCAGATATGTTCAAGGCTTGTTTTGATTCAAATCAGTGGGCCTGGAGCAAAGCCCAGGGACATGGCCAGCCTCCCACACTGTAGATCCCAGCTCCAGACCGGCCCACATAAGCCCCAAGGTTAGGAACAGTCACATGATCATTCTTCATGGTTCCTTCTGTGACTGGTACAGTATCTATTACAGAGCAGGTAACTATTACTGTTTCACTTTGAATGCAAGACCCAGATAGGGGGCACAACGGCTCTGAAGGGACTCAAGAGGCTGCAGCCCCAGGCCTGGCTGGGACCAGTGGCCTCCAGGAAATGAAGAAAAGCAGGGATCAGGCCCTGGGAGAGAGGACCCTCTCTCTTCACCTGTGAGCCTCAGGAGGCAGCAGCATCTCTCAGTCAAGGTGTAAGAAGCTCTAGCATGCCCAAGGCTGGGATCCTGCTTTGAGACCATGCTGCCATTCCCCTACCCCGGCCCTGTATGACTCACCATGGTGGGGAGGCTCTGAAACAGGCTGAGTTCACACCGTTGCACTGAACTGCTGGAGGATGGACAATCTTGTGCTACCCGGGTCTGAGTACAGTGGAGGCAGCAGCAGCACCTGCAGGAGTGGGTAATGGTACAAGCTGCAGAAGGCACTCACAGCCGACTGGCACAATCACGCTTAAGCGCCCTAGTAATTAGGGAGCTGCCCCAGACTTCGGTCCAAGTCCAAACTCTAGTACGTGGGCTACAGATGGAGAAGAGTGTGGGGTTGACCAAGGTTCACGCCTGCACTTGGCTGCCAGAAGACAGATCAATCCATGTCAAGCACAGGGCTGCCTTTATGCCCAGGAACAGCACCCACTTCATCACTAAAGAACAGTGATCCTCAGAATAACTATCTTTTACACGGGCATCACGTGCAGTGAAAAAGTTAACAAAGCTCTTCACACGCTTGCCCTCACTGTCCTTGGCACCAAAAGGGCAGGGAATGGGGAGAGCTAGCCAGGTTTGTGACCCATTTTACTTCTGGCAAACAGACTCAGAGAACTCTAGGGACCTGTCCAAGGTCATACAGGTAGGAGCCAGGATCTAAATCCATGTCTAGCTTTTCTACCAGGAGTGTGTGTTTACTACTGATAATTCCGTGCCTCCAAAGTCAGGCAGAGTCTCTGCTGTGGCAAGGGCAAGACGTAAACCACGATGACGTTCTAGCTTTCCTCAGTTCAGCCTGGTTCAGCCGCGTGTTGGCCTCTGTGTGGGTGCACAATAGGAAGAATCAACATAGCTCTGCCTCAGCCTACTTGGGGTTGGGGGGAGGGTCTTAGGTAAACCAATTCCTCCCTAAGCCTCAGCTTCCCCATCTGTAAAATGGGGGTTGGCTCCTCTCTGGCATTCTGCTAGTGTGCCAAGCCATGTGGTTCTCCTCTTGTTCCCGGGGAGCCTGTTTGATGTGGGGCACCCTGGAGGCTGCAGGGCTGACTGCCCTCCTGGCTCATTAAGGTTCCCTACGGAGAAATGTTGGTTTTGTGTTTGAGGTTCGAATTTGTAGAGTAATAGGGGCACCAATCACGTTGGGCAAGCAGACCAGTGGGCCTTTCGAAGTCTGAAGAATCAACGCGCAAAAGGGAGGAGGTGAGCCGGTGGTCGTTCTAACGTCAGGCGAGGGCACCAGCTGGATCTGGAGGAACTGAGAGAGTGAAAGGAAGGCACGCAAGGTTCTAGTCTGGGATGTGCACGAATAGCGGTCGTCTCCCTTCCCTCTCTAGGCCTCCGCAGTCCTTCCCGTTCCAAAAGGAGGAACAGTCCCGAGGGCTCCTGGAGCAACGGAAGAAAGAGGACTGGATGCGGGGAAGGGCAAAGGGCGCGGAACGGGGTGGGGAGTCCGCGGGCGAGCTCCGAGGACACTGGCGCACCTCCCCCGCCAGCTCACAGCCACATCCGCCACCTCCGAAGGCTCCGCGACTTCCCGGGGACCCCCAGTGGTGAGCTCTCATCCGGGTCCTGCGGGCGCTGGCGGAAAGAGGCGAGGCGGCGCCTCCGGGGGCGGGGCCTCCTTCGGTTGGCGGCCTCGGGCTTCGGGAGTCCTCCAAGAGGCCAGGTGAGGCCGTCCCGTGATGCCCCGCGCCCCGGCCGCTCTGGCCTGCAACGTGTCTCTGGGGCGGAGGCAGCGGCAGTGGAGTTCGCTGCGCGCTGTTGGGGGCCACCTGTCTCTTCGCTTGTGTCCGTCTCTCTAGTGTCGCGCTCGCGTCCCGACGAGCCGCTCTAAGCCTCGACATGTCGTACAACTACGTGGTAACGGCCCAGAAGCCCACCGCCGTGAACGGCTGCGTGACCGGTGAGGCTGCCGGGGCCGGAGACCCCGGCGAGGGAGGGAGCTGGGGGGAGCCGCGGCCTAGGGAGGCCCGCGGTCCCCGGGGCGGCCGGGCAGGAGTCGGCTCGGCTAATGGAAGGCCCTGGCGGCCGAGGAACCTCCCCAACCCCGAGACCTCGAAAGAGCCGTCCCAGTACGCGCTTTTTGGGGCTTGGAAGCCGCTCTCTAGGGTCCCCTTTCGTCCTGGGGAGGTCACTCGGCCTCGAGGACAGGGCGGGCCCAGTGAGACAGAGGAGTGTGAGTTGGTTGTGCGGTGTTATTTGGCCCGGAAGATTGGCCTCCTGTGGCCGGGAAAGGGGGAGGTGGTAATGGCGACTTTGGGGTCAGGATTTTCCTGTGGGGATGTCTGGGGGGCCCAGGAGGTGGAGGGATGTGAGGAATGCCCGCATTATCCTACAGAGGGAGAGGAGCCCTCTTCAGGCTAACCCCTTTGCCTGGGGCAGTTGTTTACATGAGGGCCGTGCTAGAGAAGAGGGTTTGGTTTGCCTGGCCCAGTGCTGGGTTTTCCTTATTGACGATGCGCTTGGACTGTTAAGGACACCGAAGTCCAGAACCCGGGAAGAGTCCTCTTAACCCACATTCTCAGCTGAATATGCCGACCCCAAGCTTGCATGTTTATATACACCCTAATCACGATTCCAAAACAAAGCTGTTTTTCAGAGTTGGAGGTAGCTGAGTGTGGATGGGGGTATTGGTAGACTACCAGGAGGGCAGGGAGTGTGGACAAAACAGTGTTTTCGTGTAAAGCTCGGGGACTTTTCATTTGACTTGGTCTGTCAGATAAAAGTTTTGTGAGACTTTAGATGAACACTGGAAGAAATGAACACTTTCTCCGGCATTCTCAATTAGAGCCTGCCACTGTAACTGTAATAGGAACAGTAAAATTTGAGGGACGAGAGCCATGAGAAGGGATTACGAAGTCATTGTCAGTTGGAGGACACACGGCTCTTAGGTCCAGTCCAGTTTTCTTAGTCTGATTAGGAAAGTAGCTTTGTTGAATGCATGAACTGAGACTCTTTGAGGTGCCGGGTATGATAAGAAGGGGAGTAGTACCTGGAGGGAGTTGGAGAAGTATGTGAAGTAAATGAGAATTTTGGAGGTATTTAGGCATAAGTTATAGGATTATTTTGAAGGGATGGGAGGCCCTTCCCCTGAGTTCAAAAGTTAGACGGTCTGTTCTTTCAGGACACTTTACTTCAGCCGAAGACTTAAACCTGTTGATTGCCAAAAACACGAGATTAGAGATTTATGTGGTCACTGCCGAGGGGCTTCGGCCCGTCAAAGAGGTGGGCATGTACGGGAAGATTGCGGTCATGGAGCTTTTCAGGCCCAAGGTAAGTGTTGCAGTTGGGACAAGCAGTGGAGGGAGAACTGTTGGTTGTAGGTTGTTTTATGTTATTTTTGTTTATTTATTTCCTTTGAAACGGGTGTCTCACAGTGTTGCCCAGGATGTCTTGAACTCTTGGGCTCAAGCAATCCCTCCGCTTCAGCCTCTGGAGTAGAGTAGCTGAGGGATTGTAGGCATGCGCCACCGTGCCTGGGCTGTGTTACATTGTTTTGCGAATTCTTGGGATGGGTGGAATATACCTTAGGAGAGAAACTCTCTTCTCTTTTTTCTCTCTTTGGATGGCAAATTTCAGTATGTACTCTTGACCAAGCTTTCTAGAAGTAAAAGGAGAGATTTATTAGGGAAACATTTATGAAGTTGACTTCTTTAGGAGACAGAAATTAAAGCAGTTTGTTTCAGAGGATAGGTTACAGAGTGGGGCAGTCCTGGCTTCATTCCTTGTTAATTCTGACTTTAGGTGTCACTTGAGGCACCTTTCAGATCAAGTCCCCTAGGTTATTTTGAAGATGAAATGATTCGGTAACACAGGGCCTATCATATAGCAAGCATTTAAAGTTATGTTAACAATTACCAGGCTGGATGTGGTGGCTCACGCCTGTAACCCCAGCACTTTGGGAGGCCAAGGTGGGTGGATCACCTGAGGTCAGGAGTTCGAGACCAGCCTGGCCAACATGGTGAAACCCTGTCTCTACTAAAAATACAAAAGTTAGCCAGATGTGATGGCATGCGCCTGTAATCCCAGCTACTTGGCAGGCTGAGGCACGAGAATTGCTTGAACCCAGGAGGCGGAGGTTGCAGTGAGCAGAGATGGTGCCCATTGCACTCCAGCCTGGGTGACAGAATGAGACTCTGTCTCCAAAAAAAAAAAAAAAAGAACCAAACAACAACAACAAAAAAACAATTACCATCAGTATTTTTATTATTTTAGTGCAAATGTATTCACCCAAATCACCACTACATTCCTTTATGATGTCCTAACTGAATCTGGCAAGAAAGCAGTGGGTTCAGAATTTTAATTATAACCCTTTGAACAAAACAGTAATTTTTTGGAGTCTGTGTTAAATAAGTAAGACTTTGTTGATCCATTTTAGCTTCCGTTGTTATTCCCACATTTTTTTTTCTCTTTCTTCAAATACTTGGAGAGGAGTGGAGGAGGCATTACATTCGTGTTTCAGAATTTGAATGGGATAATTGAGATTAGCTTGAGATTGAAATAGATGAAGACTTTGTATATAGAACAGAGAGATGGAGAATAATGAAAGTGAGAAATAGATGTTTACCAGCTTCAGTTCTGGCTTTTTGTACGTGCCCTTAGGGTGTATGTGTACCTAGTGTGGGTTACAAGCTCACCATATATTTTCTCTTTAGGAAGAGAAGAATTTGGAAAATTCTTAAAGAATTTGGTGTGCTTAAAGACTAGACAGGTTGTTCCTGTTTTAAAAAGAATCTCTTTTGATAGCATAACATTGGTTTCCAGGGGGAGAGCAAGGACCTGCTGTTTATCTTGACAGCGAAGTACAATGCCTGCATCCTGGAGTATAAGCAGAGTGGCGAGAGCATTGACATCATTACACGAGCCCATGGCAATGTCCAGGTGAGGTGGCTGCTTTAGGCTGACAAAAGTTTTCTAAGTAGGACTGTCATGATTCATGGAAAAAAATTAAAATGCTGGGGGCAGCTCGCTATTTGATCAGAGAAACGAGGAGAAGACACTATGGGTTTGAGCTTTTTGGAGAAAAGACTCCTTTAGTTCACTCAAGGCCCAAGGGACAGAGCAATAATTCATTCATTGAGATTCAGTGTTTCGTGAAAAAGACATGCACTGACATTGGGTCTCCAACTATTTGGCCTATCAAATAGATCCATTAGTTTTACTTCCTCTCCTAAAGTTTTTCTTTGCAAGTGGTGCCCAGTGTCTTCTGTTGCTCTGTGGATGTTGAGGTTCTTCCCTAATCCCAATTTTGTTTCTCAGGACCGCATTGGCCGCCCCTCGGAGACCGGCATTATTGGCATCATTGACCCTGAGTGCCGGATGATTGGCCTGCGTCTCTATGATGGCCTTTTCAAGGTTATTCCACTAGATCGTGATAATAAAGAACTCAAGGCCTTCAACATCCGCCTGGAGGAGCTGCATGTCATTGATGTCAAGTTCCTATATGGTTGCCAAGCACCTACTATTTGCTTTGTCTACCAGGTACTGGATCGGGAGGAGAGGGGGAGAAACTGTGAGGCTGATGTGATAGGAGTTGTTTTTGCTAACTGGAATATCTGGGTTTGGTAGGCTAGAGAGAAGTGTTTACTGTGTTTGTCCTGAAATGTTTTGAACAACACAATTAATATGGGTCAGACTTTTGTTGCTTCTTGAGTGCAGTAGTGCTTATTGTGGAGGCAGCAAGCTCTCTGGGGCTTGTAGCAGGTTTTAATCCTGAGATTACACTCTGGTTGTGGGCCTTGGGAGATTTCACAGGATGACCTAGTTTATACTTTGATTCTCTTACTGGAATGCTAGGGGATTATTAAAACTTAGCTGTCGAGAAGTTATCTAGATCTTGCTTTTGTATTAAGTAAAGAGAAATTGTCTTGGTGATGCTTTATATGTGTTTTTTAAGAAGAGGTTTACATTTTGTCCAGCAATCACTTGTGATTTGCTGGCTTGTTTTTATTTTATTTTATTATTATTTTTTTGAGACAGAGTCTCACTCTGTCGCCCAGGCCGGAGTGCGATGGCCTGATCTTGGCTCACTGCAACCTCTGCCTCCTGGGTTCAAGCGATTCTCCTGCCTCAGCCTCCTGAGTAGCTGGAATTACAGGTGCATGCCACCATGCCCAGCTAATTTTTGTGTTTTTAGTAGAGACGGGGTTTCACCATGTTGGCCAGAATGGTCACGAACTCATGACCTCATGACCCTCCTGCCTCGGCCTCCCAAAGTGCTGGGATTACAGACATGAGCACCTGGCAACTTGCTGGCTCTTCTATTTTAGTCTGTGCCTAAAACTTTAGCAGAGCTGATCCTGGGCAGCTGTTCTCTGGTCCAGATCTGTTAAGTGGGGGTGGGGTGGTAGAGCACCAGGCTAACATGCCAGTATCTTGGTAAAATCTCAGCCCTTTAACAAAAGGCCATGCAGCCTTAAGATCAGTTCATTTGTGTGTGGCTGAATGAGTGACGGAAAGAGATGATAGTC